AGAGCACTCAAACGACGTTAAAATTCAATATTTAAAAAAGTCTTTGCATGTTTAGGAATTGTCCTCGTTTCGTATTACCTGTTCAAAAGCTAGGTCAGATATAAATTTGATAAGATGGCTTAGTCAGTGTACGAATGTTCATATGGTTCGTGTTTTTTAAAACACTAACAACACTTAATGAACTTTCCATTGATTGTAAGGGGTGGAAAGACAGAGAGGGATAATTGACGGGAACTAGTTAACACCGAAATAAGCTTCATGATAATATAGGTTTAACTTTGTATGAACAAAAGAAGGAAACAAAATAACATAAGAAACAATCACCAACACCTGTCGCCCAGTTTTCTGATCGACAAATTATCTCTTGTGACCAGCAATGAACTGTGTTATTAAGTCATAAATTAAAGTAAAACAGGGTCGGTTCATCCCCTTTCTGATTGCACAGATGTAATTTCAGGAATGTTCTGTTAACTAATTCATTTGAGACAGTTTTTACGTTATCTCTTTGCATACKACACAAATCAGATTATGAGAASAGACGCTATGTTTTGTTGAGCATTTGGTGAATTTAGATTAGTGTTTAAAATTCAGGACGTGATATTACATATCCTGAATTTCTGTTTCTCAAGTTAATTTTATGTAAGTGTCAAAAAGGAACGTCAAAGGTCTAAGACGCTGCTGTTTTATAACATGAATAATTACTTTAATAAAAAGTGAAATATTATGGTTTCAGGATTGAAACAGCACTGCTTTCAAAAGAGAATCACAAAGCCAAAGCGACTAGGGAGGAAACTTGGTATGAGCTCATGTTGCTTTAATGTTAATTTGGATGTCTAATGTTTTATATTACAAGTATGTCATGCACTAAGCTTTAATATCGTTAAAAGTTAAGTTTATACTTATTAAATAATATTTTTGCTTTGTTTAATGGTTTTTATCTATAGAAACAATTTTCTATGTATAAAAAAGGAATGAWCAAACTGRTTRACATTTTATTTTAGCAGGTTAGAGAWTTGTGCACATTACAGCACTGTAACAGGTGCTAACGTTTAAGTGGTAAATTGAATATATTAATAAAACTTTATTATAATACCTACTCAAGATTTGAGGAAACTGAAATACACTCTTTTTCCGTCTATTAAACTGGTCTCGTTTCCAACTAATTAATGCTACCAAAGTTTCATCTTAAGGCTCACTCCAGTAAAAGATTGAATTAGTTATATCGAATCTTTAAAAATATTCTTGGGGAAAAATCCCAAGCATCCTTCTTTGCTTAAATAGTTTAAAAGTTGGAATGTTATGGCAGTACACAGTGGTAAACTTTTGTGCAGTACCAAAACACTAACTATTATTATGATTCAACAGCTACTAAAGTGGCGGTAATATTATTATTAAGAATGAGATGACTAAAGAACAGATTGAACATGTAAAAGATGTTTTATGAATTGCTTAATCGTTCGAAGTGGCTACCAAAAGTTTTAGACCATATTTTATTCAATTTGCCAAATACACTTTCAATTAGTAGTTCAACTATACCGTAAATTAATCAGACGTCTAAATGATAAATTATGGTGGAGGTCCTGCATGGAAAACTAATTTGAAGTTTTCCCAATACTGCTGTTAATCTAGATATCCGTTCTAAAATCAAACGAATTTCCTGTTAAATTGGGACATCCGAACCCGAAACTTGCCAACTTTCAACAAAATAAACCAAAAATTCTTTAAGACTACAATTCAAGGTAATAGAATTTTAAATGAATGCAAATATAGCTTTCCGATAATCCTAACATTTGGAAAAGTTTAACACAGTGTCGGCTGTGACAAATACGCGTCGCAAAAGCATGCCAGTTATGACGTGACGTAGCGCAGTCCAAATCCGCTTGTGTCCGTCGTTTTAATCGAGGTTTTAATTCGAGTTTGACTTTATCGATGAAAATTTAATGAATTTGTGACTGGTTCAGAATAAAAAAAAGTCATACCAGGAATGCTAATTAGACCTCAATAGCTCCAACTCATGTAAAATACAATAAAGAGTAAAAATCGGGTCTGAAAGCATCATCTTAAATGCTAAGCTCCTACGGATATAAAAAAGAACAAAATCTGTTCGGATGTAGATGAAGCGCTTTTGCTTTCTTTGTAGAATGAAGTGAAGGGCGTCTAATACCAATAACTGAAGAAAAACATGTCACCATTATCTCTTTCTCTTGCGCTACTGTCTTTATGGAAATTTAATTCGCAGATCGAAAGCTGAAACAAGCTGGAAAAAGATAATTTTAGTTAAAGCTGCTTTCTTCTGTCGCAGGAAACTCATTAGAATTTTGTTAGGAGAAATGTTTGAGTTTTTAACAAACACGTTTTTACGATGGACTCTCCACTACTTCTTTAATGTTTTATTCAAGAAATATTTTATGCGGTTTGACTACCTATCTTGGACTCGTAGACGGGCAAACCTCGTTTATTTTTATAAAAATTTTAGCATTTACCTTTGCATAGAGAAATCAGTTAGGTACTTACTTTTTTGGCTCATTAAAATGAGTTACGATATCCAGTATTTTACTTTTCAAATTATTTTAAGATATTGATATACAGATTATAATGATAAATCATTATTATAGTCTCGCTAATCGGCACTTGACGGGATCGGTCCCTGTCCAGATCAACGAAAGTCCGGGTTAAACAGAATGAGCCTTACAATGTCTGTAAAACAGGTTGTATGCCGACAATAAACTTATTTAATTTTTGAGCTAAGTTTGTTTTGTCCGGATTAACCGGAAGTCCGGATTAGCGAGGTTTGAATTAGCGAGACTTTTGTGAACTTTATATAAGTAACACATATTTTTTAGAAAAATTAGTATTTACTTGATCAAATGTTTAAAAGTATATGTGTTTATTTAACAGAGAATACCGTAAAAACTTTGTTTTTAAAGCAGAATGTAATAGGTACAAATAATAGGTGTATCAACAAAAACGTTACACTCATATCGAGATAACTGTTTTTGTTTACTTTAAAGACGATTTACGATTGTCCAATGATTTTATTTGTGCAATTTTATTAAAATTCATTTGTACAAATTTGCACATTCATGTTTAATGAACTTATGCACAAACATAAACCCGATGTTTATCAAATTAATTTAGCAAAAAGTTCTAATAATAGGTGGGCCATTTGTAAGTTTCTTTTTGAAGTGCGTGTTATGTTCACATTAGCAACACTGACGCGCCTGACACATTGACAGGTATAGTGTCAAACCTCCGGTTTAAAAAAAAATTGTTTTACGGTTGAATAACGTTGAGAAATATTGAAAAATTATTTTTAAAGGGAAAGCTATGTTGCAAAAACTGTGCGAAAGTTGAGAAAAATTTTTTGGTCGAAATGCAATATGACGCCGTCGGACTATTTTTTATGGAAAAATTGTTAAAGACCGTTGCTACTTCAAGGATCTTCAAACCATTGACGCACTCAGAAAAAACATCGATTGAGCTATTGCTGAAATAGAGACAAATAATCGACAATGTATTGCAAAATTGGGTTAAGAGAATGGGCTACTGCCAAGCCAGCCGCGGCAGCCATTTAATAACTGAAATAGTTCTTCATAAATAATCGGAACAAAGCTCTTGAACAAAGCAACAATCATTCAAAAATATTCAACAGTGTAGTTTTAATAACAATCTTAAAAAGAAACCAACAGATGGCCCACCCTATATTTGCATATCACTTTAAATATTTGTCAATTCAACAATGTAAATAAAAAGGGATTACAAAAAACTATCTTCAGTAATAAAAATTTTCTAATATCGACTTTTTAGATACCAGGTGAACAGAAAGTATACTTTCCATATATGGAAACAAACATTTTTGTTTAAACTATTAGTTTTTTTATCTAATTGATGAACGATGTAATAAGATAATAAATACTATAAAAAAGTAACGTTTCTCATGAATTTTTTTTTGAAATGAGTTATAATCCAAAAATGATGTTTTTTTAGAAAAAGCCTTTTCATCGTTTAAAATGCCTTTTAAACGTTAATATTTTTAAGCTCAATTTTTATTAGTCCATTGTGCTTAGTTTCCAAAATGATTTGTTTTTTTTTACAATAACACTTAATGTTTTGTGTGTTATATGATTTAAAGCATTTGAAAACATTTCAAAATTTTTAAATAATTTCGAAGAAAATTTACTGACTTTTGTTTTGTTGATTAAACAAAACGATTTTTGGTTTCATTTTCTTATTTTGATAATAATTAGAACGAAAATGAGTAAAAACTTATATATGTTGACACTACCTGGTATATTGATTTGTTTTTCAGTCTGTTTCAAAATAAGCTAAAACATTGTTTGTTAATAAATTTGTGACAATAAAGTTATATAAATTGTAAGTAGTAGTGTAATAGATTTCACTTTAAAATTTGTGTTAAATGCGAGAGCAAAATATGGTGGATGCGCCGGAATAATTAATTAATTAATTAATTTCTGACAAAATGTAACAATTGCATTTTTTTGCTTTGTATTAATTAAAGTTTCTAAATTAGACTAGTTTGAGTATCAAAAGTGGCTGTGGGGTGCAGAAATAGACCCACAAAAAACGAAAACAAAATCATAAATATAAAAAAGTCTTCGTTTGGCTCCAGAGTTGATCCATATATTGCACGCTTTCGCCTTTTATTCATTGAGTCTCTTCTGACATGTCGTATTTGACAACGAGCTATTCTCTTTATCTTGTCTTTTTTAACAACAAACGAATGCAACCTCAGAATTTCCATAATATTTAGTAATTTTACAAGCTTTGTTAATGTATTTGTTTATAAACTTAACGTGTTTAACATGTAAATAAAATAAGTATATTTTTGTTTTATGTTTTTGTCAAAAATGCTAAATAGAGAAGTACTTCACCAAGCATTCTGAATTTGTAAGCATTTTAGACAGCTCCTACTTTATAAATAATAAAAGATATGAAACTAGGTCTGTAAAATTTGTTTCTTTATGTTGCCGTCTCCATACCTTGGTACTCAATTCCTGCGACTAAATGGTCTGTAATAAAAAGTCTATGCCCCAACGTGAGGTTGATAAAATTTTCCGTTGGAACTTTAACATCCCCTTGAAGTCCGCACTCGTTCACTTCTTGGGGCAGAAGCAAAGTGGTGAGCTCAATATCCGGGGGCCCCGGCGACCGTCCCGGCGCGGGATCACCGCTGGTCAAGCCTCCGGAACTAGCCGGATTAATCACAAGACAAGTACAGAACCAGCACATTTCCAAGAAAAAAAGTGCCGTAAATAGCAACATGGTCACTCTCACCATTCCGCACACATAAACGAAAAATTGCAACGCAAGTCCGGACAACAACAAAAAGCTCGAAACATCTAAACTCGAAAATAATATTACAAGAAGCGACTAACATCCGCGTAAAAACCGTTCGGACGCATTCCGCAAGCTTTCACGTAGTTGTAGTAGAACAGTGATACACACAGAGGGTGCAAAGCGAGTTTCTGGGAAGCCGGACGCACACAAACTGAGTCGGTCTACAACCGACGAGTACAACCCCGTGCGCTTTGTCCGATCGATTTAATACTCAGACATAAAATTGCTGAACCACCTGAACCGTACACATACCTAGACGCTTATTGCTAGCTCAGCGTTACCACCGCCGCTCTTGCTCTTCGGCTATGAGCCACATTTTTCCATTTTTTTCCTGCGAATTTTCCTAGTCCGACAAACAAATTAGTCTCATTGGCGGAAACTCTTATTTTACTCCAATCAACGCTCATTTCTACCTACATTTTAATGATGCAAAAATATTATGAATGAAGATTAAGTTCAGTTCAGTGGGTTAGTGGGTATAATAAAACAAACACACCCCAATGTAAAGGAACTGTGAGGTATTTACCTCTTGCTAAACCATATTCTATGGAAAAACATAGCACAAAATTTTTTACATATCTTGTCTATAAGTTTAATCATACCAGGTGAATAAAAAGTATGGAACCAAACGTTTTTGCTTAAACTATTTATTTTTTGGAAAAACTAATTGATGAATGGTAAAGTACTATAAAAATGTGAAGTGTTATCAAAAATAAAATTTTTCAAAATTTTCTTTTTCTACAATTTTTTTTTTAATGGTAATCCACTATAAAACCATTTATATCATGAAGGTTATGATCTAAGGATTACAACTATCTACTTTATACAGGATGAGCCAGAACTCGCGCTCCAGAGAAAAATGCCATATCAGGAACGTGGAAAAAATGTTAAAAAAATTTTATCTATAAAAATTTCGCAGTTATGAGAGTTTAAATTTGGCACTTTGACTCTATTTATTTCTGTTGGAAAAATAATTTTTAAAATGTTTTTACTACAGGCTTTTAGAAGAGGAAACAAGGAAGCTGTATCCTACATTGTAACTCTGTTTAATGTTATTTGTGGCTTTTATTGGCAAAATTTTTATACCTTTCCTAAATAATTGTAAAAAAACATACAGTATGTCTCCAGATTGAGTTTACAAGAGGAAAAAAAATATTTATCTTTGATTTTACGCCAAAACTGCAAAGGAAAAAAAGTTTTTGCTTTACTTGAAACCAACAAATCTGTAATTAAAACTTCATTATTCTAACTCAGTAGAAGGAAAAGTTTATTTTTCTCTGCTTTTTAAATCTTATTACATTAGCGGTTTTAATTATTTGACAACTATATGCCACTTTGACAATTAATTAATTAATTTAATTTATTACAATTTATAAGTCCAAAATACTGAGTTAGAATAATGAAGTTTTAATTACAGATTTGCTGTAAAGCAAAAACTTTTTTTCCTTTGCAGTTTTGGCGTAAAATCAAAGATTTTTTTTTCCTCTTGTAAACTCAATCCGGGAACATACTGTATACAAGATCATCAGTATCATTAAATAGACAAAAAAATGTCAAATATCAAAAAATAAATGTCAAATTTTTTTTATAGATTTTTAAAATTTTTTAAACACTTTTCCATGTTCCTGGTATCTTATTTTACTTGAAATTTTTCTCTGTGGCGCGAGTTCTGGCGCACCTGTATTTAAATTTCTAAAAAATTTTTTTTACATAAATTGCAATTTTGACAAAAAAAATCGCATAACTCAAAAACAAAACAAAATCTCGTTTTCAAAATACGATCACATTTTTTATGTGATTTAAAAACGCTTGGTTCCATACTTTACCTTGTATAGTACGTGAAACATATTTTGTTATAAAATTTTAGAAAACTTTATTATGAATCCTATTATTTTATAATTTTTTTTTGGAAATTGCATTGTACAATAGAACTAACCAACAGTTTAACCTTCATACGGGGTAAGCTACATAATTAATTTTTTTTTTGAAAAAAAATTATCAAGCTCCAAACAGTGCAAACTTATGTGTAGAAATATTTTTCGTAGAATAACTTTTCATATTCTGGATAATGTAATTATTGTTTGTAATTTTACATTAGGCCTGTTTGAGGACCACAAAAGGGAAATAAATTTAGCTGCAAGAAATACCTTTGAAGATAATATTATTACTTATTAGTTAAGTGTGTAGAAGGCAAATAAATTTTTTTCCTTTGAAACAAGTTATTTTTGAGCAATTGTAGTTCGAGCACCAATCTAACGTCTTCCTTTTAACCTTTAACCGCACCTTTTTGTTTTTCGTTGAAAAAATTTAAAATTAAAAAAAATTTAAACATTAGATACTCAGCATTGCTCCAAGCTCTTATATTGAAAAAATATTATGAAAAATGGAAGCGATTAAATCGAGCTTTCCGAACGAAATCAATTCTTTGCGGTTGTCGATTCGAGCAAACGTACTCTGGAAATAATATGTCACCGATAAAGAAAATGCTTTCATCGTCTTATTGTGGACGTTTGGAATTCATTGCATGACTGCATTAATTTGTGCGAAAGCAGAAACATGGTGATCTAAATTTAGTCCACGCAACCCTCGAAAATCTGCACTTTTTACGTGATTTAAAGTAACAGCTTTCTTGTTTGTGATGGAAACCTCGAAGTAATGACATGTAGCTTGATCATAAATCAGTTTAATCATTATTTCACTTTCAAAGCCTGAAAGAATGACAGTGGATGTCCTCGCAAGGATATTGATCGGTTTTCAGACTTTATGAAAATGTAAATGTTGTAGTATCGTTAATTTTTTTATGGGAAAGTAAATTTTAATTTGTTTTCATTTTAAAACAAGCCTCCGTGAACATGTTTTTCATGAAAAGGTTAATCCAGTTGCTGATTAAAAAATAATTTGCTATGGAAATTTTAATAATTAAAAGGTTAAGGACAAATCCTATTGAACAAATACATAATCTGTGTCTGATTAAAATATAATACACTGAAATTTTCTAAAGTAACGACAGCAACACAAGTCACAATTTAGATCTTTTCAAGAGTCGATGTAGTTATCAATAGAACTCGTTATGTCTTAGTTACTTGTGTCGAAGTAGCAAAAATTGTCGACAATCATCATTCTATCTGAAAACAACCTAAATTATTTGTACTAAACTTACAACTATGTTAACTATAAATAATAATACAAAAATTATTATTTACTAATAAAACGTAAAGCACACCGATAAATGTTTCAGATATTTTTGTTTCAGCTTGCATCTTTTAGTGCTACAACCAATTTACACGCTCATTAACCAAAAGCTTATTAATTGGAATCAATTAGCTTTAGCCCCGACGTTATTTAGCACAGTTTAGTGTTTGTTAACGATACTTCCTCTATTACAAATTGTTTGTATTTTGTTAAATAAAATATTTATTATAAAAAATGCATTGAAAATAAAGCTGTCGCAAAGAAAATATGTATTTTGTGATTTCCTCAATTTTTTCCTAAAATTGTTTGTTAGAACACAAATCGATAAACACGAAACAAATTTAATAACGTTTTCTATTCATTATAATGTTTCAAACATCGAAATTTATTAAGACATTGGCATACTGAGAATTTTCCCTTCGTTATGTTGTTTCAGTGACATTTACTCTTACGAGGGAAAGGTAAGCTGACACCGGTTAACACGCAACAATTCACTTCGTATTACATTCAACGAAAAATATATAGCGACAATAATAATAATAATTTAGGTACTAAGTTTCAAGTTGTAACCTTTTGCACCAAAATCAACAACAAAATTTTGTTTACTTATTGCTTTTCCGATACTTGTTTCTAACTCTACTGTAAATAATTAATTTAATAATCTCATAGTATTTACCAGAACGCATTTGTAACATTTGTTCAGCTAATGCTTAGCGAACATTTCGCGTTGTTTCTTCAGCCGTTGAACCAGGGAAGATAAACACAACAATTAATTAATGAACAACGCAGTTACGGAGGGAAAATTATCAGCTACTGGACCGCAGTGCGGTCGATTCTTACTAAAATGTTTACATTTACTAACTAGAATAGCTACGGCTCTAATTTATTACAATTGCTCTTTGCATATTTGCCTATTAAAACAGAGCAGTTTTTTAGTAAATTACTTTTGCTACGACCTATTTCAGTTCGCTCCCTAGCAGCAGTTTTTGCCAAGTTATTTTGTTTTCATGAAACTACAGCCTTTTAAGGCATTTTCAGAATTTTAAATCATTTTCGTTTGATTATCACAGTCGAGAATTAAAGCACGTTTCTCGCTGTGTGTTAAATTTCTTTTATATCTCTTTTCGATTTTAATACATACATAAATCTGAATAAATCTGACTTCAAACAAAATTGCAATAGCAGGGCACATGTTTATGTGTTTCTGATTATACTAGATGTAGATATCTCTACGGTTTAATGCATACATTCCATTTACTCAGATCTTCATAGTTAAATTGTAATTGTGGCTGTTAAGCTGCGTTATACAGAGGACTCATGAATGTCACAGCAAAATAGAATTCATTTTATTCATATCTCAGCTCGCTTTTTGGACTGAAAGTGGCATTAATTATTTACTTAGGTACGTTAAGCGAAATACATTATTGTTGTTAAATGATTTAATTATTATTTATTTCAATTTTTATTCACCATTTACTTGGAAATAGGGAATTAAGCACAGGGTGCAAAAAGGAGGATGCCTATTTCAGCTTTTATTTAAAAAAACTGCCGGTAACAAGAAATAGAAATAAATAGTTATAGGATCAAATGTGCAAATTTGAAACCCCCATGTCTGCTTATAACATTAATATTGATAGATTTTTGTAACTTCGGTCTCATGCTTTCTGTATCATAAAAAAATAGTAATGTATCATAAAGTTATTCCGCGAATTTGGATTTAGAAACATCCGTTGTAAGAAACACACACGTGTTCTATTGGAAATTTCTGCACAAAAAATAATTAGGCTCTGATGACACCGGTTCTATCGAATTCTAATTCGCGGAACTGCATCAATGACAAAGACGTTTTCCGCCCTTTTAACGGTCGAAAGGATTTTTAGTTCATTTCTTTGGCAACTCTGTAAGCGTAAAGAGTGGTCATTCGTGATTCAAGAATGGAAGCTGATGAAAATAATATTTTAAATATAGATATTTTTAAAAAATTGTTCTCTCAGTGTTTGGATGCTACGTTTGTTTTATGCGATTGGGCATATCGCAGCAATTACGGACCAAGAAAGGTAACATTTTACACCCAGTTGTTAACCTAATTAATTACAAATCCATCGAAACAACTAGATAAAAGTTGTTCAAACTCAAGACAATATTAGACTGTATCGTCGATAACTCTCTTTCTACTTTAAAAGCAAAGTTTTCATTTCGTTGCCAAATCGATTATAATAACTAATTTTCTCTTTAGTTTCAAGAGATTTTTGATCAAATTTTTCCATCGGCGATTGTATTGCGATCGCCGTATTGGCCGAGATACAGACATCCTAATAACAAAAAACATTTGTGTATTTGTGACCACTATGGAATTGTTTGCAAACATAACTCCTTGATTTCTGGCCCTAAGCACTTCTTTGAGGACCCAGACAATGAAAAATTCCACAGAGACAATTTTGGTATATGTCATGGAACAATTAAACCCGTGGTAAAACTCTAACAAGTTTTATATACCGCTCTATAAATATCTAATTTCAGAAATACAACATCACATGTATGCCAACGCCAGCAAATTTACCGAAAGGATATTTAGTTTCAGCCAAGATTTTCGTCAAAGGAAGTGATTGTCCTGCACTACATAAGCGGCGTAAGCAGCTACCAAACCACTTCTTTATTAATAACAGGTTTTAAAGCATAAATAAACTTTGTTCCTTTTCCTTCTAATGAAATTTTATTTTATTAGGTATGCTTTTGTGAAACGAATACGTTCGCTTCACCAGACATTCGTTTTCGGTTCATGCAATAATTTGAAAAAGAGTGCAGACTTAATTTTATCCTCGAAGGATAATTATGAATTTCCCGAACAAATTTTAAATGGATATTCATTGGAAACAGAAGAATTTCCCATGTGGACTGCTTGTGTTTTCACTACACAAATGATTCCAAGAAAGTATCTGAATATTATTAAAAATAAGAAAAACGTAAGGGCTAATAACGAAGGTGTGACAACTGATAAAGAAGGCACAAGTATTCAACTTTCAAATTACAGAAAACCGCCATTCAAAGATAACGTATCAGGTATGTCACTTGACGCAGAGTCCCCAAAGAATTGAATATTCCAGAAAACCGTTAATTAGGAATGCCTTCTTTTTCTTTCCAACAAATGTTATTTTTTACCATTACCATTACAAATCATTAATAAAGACATTATGCATCAATATTACAAATGTTTTTGAACAATAAAGCCATTTGATTTGTTCTTCGTCATGAGTACCTTAATGAGTAATGATTGAATAGAATTTAACAACTCATGCATATATGCCATTCTCTTACATCTTTTATTACAAAAACAAGCAATGTAGATCCAAGGTTGATACTCTTTTTTATTCAGGCACAGACATTCGAGAATATATTTTAAAAATGGATGTTCTCCGAACAGCACAAAACTTTTATGTGTTGTCGGTTTTCCGACTCCAAATCCAACATTTACATTTCTTTAGGACTTTTTTGTTGTATTGTAACAACTCACTCAATACAGTTTTTAATAACTTTGTCACCTTATTATTATCTGTATTTATTTTTATATATTTTTAAAGCTTCATAAAAGAGAAGCATAAGTTGCAGAAATGTTTTCAAGATTGATATGTCATCGAATCAGATAAAAGTAGCTTTAAACGATATATGGATATAACAAATACCTATTTATTAAATTTGACATAGTTTTTTAGCCCGGAAACGTAATGTTTACAGCAAAATCACAAAACAATCAATTCGTGTTTTTCCCGTGTTGTGATATAAATATTAAAGTTTTCCATTTGAAATGTGAATAGTTGTGACAGTATTTTTCTATCTTAAAAACTTTGTGTTTGATATATTGATTTATTATGAGGTCAGTTCCTGGGTTCTTGACCTCAGTTCAGTGACCAAATGCACCCGGTTTCTATGCAACAACTTTAGTTAAACCAAAATATTATTAATATTTTATTAATGTAATGGTAAAAAACGTTTTTACTGACCTAATTTTTTAAACAACTTTTTATTTAACTAAAGCTTGAAAGAAACCTGATCCTAGAAGCCAAACGAAAGTTAAAGGATTAATGTTAGGTGCTGTAAAGGATGTGTTCATTACATCATCTATTGTTTGCAACATTACTTTGTAAGAAAACAATATTACTTTTTAATAAACTTATCATTTCGTATTTGTTTTATTTTTATCATCTCTGATTTAATTGTTTTGAAGGTTGTTTTGAAGTAATTTTTTTTGTATTCTATATTATTATATTAGCAATTTTCATAGATTGTTGTCCCTTACGCTTCTAAATAAATGAATTATTAATAGTTAATTGCAAAGACATTCTACATTTTTTATATTCTAGTTCACAAAACATAATTTTTGACAATAAATAAACATACATTAGGCTTGTTCTGTTTCACCTCCACCAGCTGGGGGTGGAGGAGGTTCTTCTCTTCGTGACGATGATCCACCTCCTTCATTCCCTCCTAGGCAACAGTATGCAAGAAGTAAAGTAGCAACAGCCGCAGCTTTACAATTAAAGTTATTTATAAGGTTTTTTTAGTTTTCAAAGTCTAATATTACCTGCTATGAGTGAAATTATGAGCAACTTATTGTCGCCGGATTGGTCGCCGCCGCCGCTGTCCGCCGCCTTGGAATGTTTTTTACACGAAAGAAAAAATTCCTTCATGACGAAATTTGGACAAAAAACACAAAAACAAATAAATTTTGAGTTTCACGTCACATAACAGCACGGAAATGATAGTTTGTAGCTTGATTGATTTTTAAAAAATCTTTGCTTTAGAAAGATGAGAAAATACCTACTGGTACTATGAAACAAAAGGATGATGTAACTAAAAAATGAATAAAAGCTACGATTAAAGTATTTTTTTCAAGAAAAAAACAATAAAAACATTTTTCTTGGACGTTTTATTAACTAAATAACTACACAATTACGTATAACCACATTTTTAACACAATGAAAAGACAAAGTTTATGGATTTCGGCCTCCACCACCGCCACAACAGCAACAAACAAGAAGTAACGTAATTCCGACAGTACCTAAAATTACGCAGTAATACTTGAAATTCTAGGGAATTCCCAACTACCTGCTAACAGTGTAACGATTGGAATTTCAGTGTCTGTTTGAACTCTCAAAGGAGGTTGCTTTTCCAATTGTTCCTTGATACTTGGCATTGTCACAAAAATTTACACTTGCTGTCAGAAGTGATATGAAATAAGACACAATTTGTTGCTTGATTTACAGTTGAGATTTTTATTTTCCACATTTTAACAGATTTTGTATTTACATACTTTTATACATTTATACAGTTCATCATGATTACGTATTCAACAAGGACTAGCGGCATAGCAATAAATAAAATATTTTATTTCGTAACACAGATATTCACGCGTCATAAGTGTAATTATTGTCATACATTACTTTATAACCCGATGGTTGAATCCAATCAAAGACACTTCATCTGAAGTTTTTAAAACAGTTCAATTTAAGAGTTTTTGAATGGACAACACTCGAAACAAATTTGCACTATTTAACAACAAAGAGCAACAAATTAACTAATTACATTAAATTGCTAAGCTAAACACCGATATTCTTACCAACTATTATTGTTTAATTGTATATTTCAAATTGACTAGACTTAGGACAGACTCTAAATGGCGTGGAATTTTTGATACTGATTTAGGTATTATTTGTTATTGAAGGATATGTCGTTAGATGGATATGTTAGAGAGTAGCAACACTAGTAACAACACTATGGATAAAAGAAATGATTAAAAAAAAAAACAAAGAGCCAATTATTAACAAAGACGAGTCTGTCAATCTGCTTGGACAAAAACAAATATTTGTGCAAATATATCACATTTTAGTTCGAACAAATAAAAATATGATGGTTTCGTAGTGAACACGTCGTTTATTTTCTTTTAGAAAATCATCTAGTCTTATTTTTGTTAAGTATTGTCTTTCTAAAATTTATTGTCTCTTTTCGGCTGAAATTGATGAAATTTATTTGAAAAATAAATCGGACCAATATCAATCTACGTGATATTTCTCTTTTAGGAGCAGCGCCTGAACTTTAATCCAGTATGCTTCCCAAGGAAAAATGATATGAGTATACAAATACATGATATGGAATGGTTATAAATATTGTTGTATCCTAATTTTTCTAAATTTAGTCAATGTCTTCTTCATCATCATTTGTATATTTCGTTGGACAACATAGCCCTTCGGTTCCATCCGCGTGTATGCAAAACAAAAGAGTTTCAGCTTTTGACACTTCATGAGGCATAATACCATGAAATTCTTTCAAATCGTTTGCTGGAAACCATGCCTTTTCGTTATCATCAATTATAACTGTTCCAAATAATCTGTAAAAACAAATTTTTAGTGTGTTTAATCCGTTTTGAAACAGAAATACCTAGCAATAGCTGCACCTGGAATCCAGGCAATAGAACTAAAAACTAGAACCAAAATAAGAATAACAGACCAAATAGGCCAATCATGTTTTTCTGTTTCTCCCTTAGAAGCAACCCACGCATCATATTTCGAACCGTCAACAGCAATCTCGATAAAACTGGACACAAGAATTGACATCATTGCCAAAGGCGATAAATATTTCCAACATAATAGCCAATAAAGGCCCGGACGTTGTCCTGTCATCATTTCAATGTCGTCGGCAAATCTAAAATTAGAGTTTGGTCAGGGAATTGTCCTACTCTGTTGACAAGTTATTTTCTATATACCTTTTTAACCCATATACATAAGCGACTCCAATACATTCAAACAAAGCTATGATTAGTAGCGGAAAATTTCCGCTGTAGCCATCAAAAAGCACAAATATGTAGCTTCCGGCTCCATGAGCAAACGCCATTGAAATAAGGCAACAGGTTAAACAAATTCCTCCCGTTAGTATCTCTTTCGGTAAGTTGGGAAATAGTTTCAAATCCACAATGGACGTGACAACTCCTTCCAACGTCCCAAATTGTGAATCAATTCCCAAAGTAAAAAGCATAAGGAAGAAAAGAACAGACCAGAATTGGGCTCCGGGAAATTGGTTTATTGCTTCTGTAAATATTATAAAAGCTAATCCTGTACCAGAAGCTGACTGAAAAAAGACACAAAACATTATTCTGTTTGCAATCCGGAGGATCGATAATGTAAATGCAACTCAAAATACGTAAAGTTTAAAGGACATCCGGTCCTGATTTGACGCTAAATTTATGCAGATGCCTTCTCCCTTTTAATCGTGTTGACGAAAATTAAAAACAAAACAAAGAAAAAAATGCTTACATTGTCCAGTTCTTTGTCTAAGTCACATTCTGGCAGTAAAGGCATCACAACGCTAATAATCGAACCGTCGTCGTTCGAAATATTGAAAACGGTTCCTTTCGGAGGTAGTCTACTTTCATCAAAATCGTTGTTGCCTATCAATGCGGCAAGGGTGCTATTCCTTGTGCTCATGCACTTCTCATAAACCATCGTAGCTTTAAACCCAATAATCGAAAAAACGACAATTCCAGCAAACATCGAAGTAAAACAATTCGTTAGAGACACCATCAAGGCGTCTCTATAACAATTATTATTAACAGGATTATACGAAGAAAACGCGATAAGGCCTCCAAATGCAAGTCCTAACGAGAAAAAAATTTGGGTGCCAGCCTCCAACCAAACCACCGGTTCCAAAATCTTGTGCCACGAGGGCGTAAACAGATGTCTTAACCCATCACCAGCACCCTTCAGCGTTATCCCACGAAAAAAGAAAATTATAAGGACGATGTAAGGAAAGGTCGCCGTCACGTAAACGACCTTCCCTGAAGAGGCAATTCCTTTAATCATACACATGTAAACTAGAATCCAAGCCACGACCAGAGCTAGAGCAATCTTCCAGTTGAAAACTTCCGGACTGTTAATGTCCTCAGAGATCATTAAAGTCGTGCGGTACCAGAAGTACTGCGTAGGGCTGCTGATCTGCAAACCAATTCATTTCGGGACCAATCATCACAAGACAAGTTTACAGGGGCGGACTGGCCAGGGGTGCCGGGGTGCCATAGCACCCCGGGCACTCGAGTCTTACGGGCCCCCAATTATGGTAGACTTATTATGTCAAGAGCTCATTGAAATAATATCAATAATTTTAAATCTGTAAATAAACTTTCCTAAGTGTGTTTAGTTTAAGGGAATTAAAAAATTGCCATCATAAGAAATAAAACTATAATTTCAATGATTTTAGCTCAATTATGTTTATAAGGTCTTACACGCATGTAAGAAAAATTCCGCGTGGATTTATACAAGTGTGTCATTATTTTAATCACAAATACTCCTCTACAAATAAGCATAGATAGCACGGTATTTATTAATCCAACTCGTCAAGCAATAGAATAATTAGAGCTTTTATAATCATCAAGAAATAAACAAATATTCCTTTGGATTTAATGAAATTTACATTAAATATGACAGCATTGACTGCGATTTCATTCGTAGGGGATTATTTCCAAGGTACGCTCAAAATTTATAAATTCTGATTTTGCAGCGCGGTGTAGAATTTAGTTTAAACTCAAATAACTCGAGAACGGTACATTTTGGCGATATGAAGCTACCTTTTTTATAAAAAAAATGATTGGGCTGTATCAAAAACAGAAATTAATAAGCCGAAAAAAAGTTATGATCCCAAAACTGGGAGGACTCATTGCTACCAGAAATGTATAGCTTCTACAAGACTTCCGTTTACACCAAATCAAAGAGTGTCTTTTTGTCCTTTAACATGCAAATTTTAATAATAATCGGATAAACGGTAACAAAAATATTTTCAGACAATCATTTTTTCATACCGATTTTTGGAAAGTTGTAATTTTTCTATTTTTTGAGGTGGGTCAATAAATACTGTACTATCTATTCTCTATTGTAGAGAGGTATTCGTAATTAAAATTATGCCACGCATTTTTTAATCAACCGATATAAAATATCGTTTTTACTTAATTTAAGTAAATTTTTTTTTAATTAGTAGTGGGCGTAAATAATGGAAAAATCTAAATATAAGTATAAATTTGGTGCACAGAAACGAAGAGAAAAACAAAAATTACAATTACAAGCAGCCTCTGAAGACGTTCATCTAAAAACTTTGTTTTCGTTTATTAAACCATCATGATTACAACTGACACAATCTCAATAGAGGAAACAAACTCCTTCAAAAAAATTTACTACGTTAAGTGACAGGGTAAATATAAAGTATGGAATTAAGCGTTTTTTTTTTTAATCATTTGTCTTCAGAAAATAATAATTAATATAAATTAACGTAATATAAATAAATGAGATCGTATTTTGAGAACAAAATTTTGTCTTGTTTTTGAGTTATGCGATTTTTTTTTA